CTCTTGCTGAAGGGGGTAATTAATAAGGAAAGGGTAATAATTTGAGCTTTTTTTAAACAGGCTAATTATAACTATTTTTAAGCGGGGTAATTATTGTTTCAACCTTTGATTGCAGGAGGTAATTAATAGAGCATATACGGTAAAATACATATTATTTTCTCAGAGACAAAAAATGAAAACTTTTCACAATTAAAAATTAAAAATAATAAAGTGGAATTTCTTTTATGCAGTGCATTTTATAAAAAAATTTTTGCTTTATCAGTGGTAAGTTTAGTTTGCTGATCTCGTCGAGTCACTGCATTGAGAAATGATTCTGGAATGAGTTATATTTACTAAAAATTGAAAACCTTAGGGACGATCAAGCTTATTTACTTTTGGTGTCAAAAATTCTATTACACAAAAAAATATTTAGTTTATTCTATAGTATATCGTGTACCGAGTAAACGGGAAAAAACTGAGTTCAAGTAATACCGATTTTGAAAACCACGAGCTCGAGTACGAGTAAATCGAGTAATTTTTATAAAACAGTACTTTAATAGCGTTACCCTATAGGTCGATCGAAACAAAGCCATTGGGCTTATTTAAGAGAGAATACTGTATTTATAAAAACAATCAGTAATTTAATTCTTATATTTTTGTTACTTAATTAATTCTCAGAATTATTTTTATTTTTTCAAACAAAACATTTGGCTTTAGAAAATTTTAATATTTTATTTTATTTAAATAAATATATTTATGTTGAAAAAGTAATGAATTTTTAATGGATAAAATTCACAACTCTATTAATTATTATTAGAGCCAGGATTTTTAGGCACGATAAAGTTAAAAATAGGCGCCTATATAGACACTAAAAAACTGCCAAAATAGGCACTAAAATCCGAAAAAAATGCAAAATAGGCAGGATTTTTTCGAGATTTTCTGATTTAAATTGACTAAATTTTATTAAAAAAGATTAATCTAAGCAATAAACTGTTAAATAAATTAATTTTGACGATCCGAATTACATATAATTTATAATAATTATTTTGTTTTCAAAAATAATTTGATAAATTTTTCATAAGAAAATTTTTTTTTCATAAATTTTTTTTTCATAAGAAAAATTTTTTTGGGAAAAATTTTGTATTTTAACAGAAAAAAAATTTTTAGACAAAAATTTTCTCAAAAAATGCCCAAAAATTCGCAAATTTTAGTAAAAATATGCAAAATAGGCTGAAAAAAAGGCAAAATAGGGCATTTTCCCAGAAAAAGTTAAAATAGGCAATTTTAGGCAACGATAAAAGTAGTTAGAAAGCAGATTTCAGTAAAATAACACCGGATTTGAACGTTTCAGCATCAGGCCTATCTAGGAAAAAAACAGGCATTTGCCTAAAAATCCTGGCTCTAATTATTATATTAACGTTTAATTATATATCAGAATTTAGGATTCTGAAAAATATGTGCTGCTTACCGTATTTACTCGATTAATTCCCCTGGGGAATTATTTTTTCAACCCATTCATGGCATGGGGAGGGGAATTATTTATTTCAAGAGAGGGGAATTATTCGAATTTTGAAATTTGAACGTGTAGTAGGGTATTCAAGGGTGGGGAATTATTGTTTCAACTCATCCGTAGCAGGGGATTATTCGAGGGAGGGAATTAATCGAGTAAATACGGTAAGTCATTGTAAAGGGATTTTTTTGTAAAACCTTTATTTTACCAAACTAATGAAGCAAATATTTATTTATTAAAAACTAGTTCTCCTTTTTATCTCTAGCTCTCCTTAATCAGGTCTTTATCATTTCATTGCCAGAAAGAATATAACAAAAACTTGCTTTAAATATTGGGGAATGAATTAATTAATGGGAAATAAAGGAGAAAGATTAAATGAAAAAAATAGATTTATTTAAAAAAATTTTTTTGAGGGAAAAGATTGCAAAATTTAATGTGAAAATAAATAAAATTTTCTTAATAATTTTTATAATAAAATTTTTTTTTAATTTTGTATATCTATGATATAACCGAATATATATAATTTATATCTAAATAAATATTTTGATCATTTTATTGGGAACATAACGAAAAAATTTTTAAGACAAGTTAACATAAGTAAAGAAAATTTTTCCCTACTGTTGATCATCCACGTTTTTATCTAATTGATCATATCCATTGGCTAGTCTAGGAGGAGGGCAATGGTCACAACCTCCATACAAACCCTAAATAGAAAATATTTAGAACTCATCTAAATTTTAATTCAAATGCTATGATTTATAAACAAGGAAATTCAGAAAAGTAAGCTCAAAATAAATAAAATATTACCGGCTCGCCATCCCTGCCAGGCGATCCTTTCGGCCCATTTCGGCCCGGAAGTCCATTCAATCCATTTGTACCCTTTTCACCAACTGGTCCAGGCGGTCCTTGCCTTCCTGGTTGTCCTTGGGGGCCTGGAGGTCCCGGTTGACCATAAGGCCCTGTCCTTCCTTGAGTTCCCCGTGGTGCTGGCTGTTCTACTAACTTAAATAAAAATTTCAAGAATCAATTTGAATGGGGTTTGAAACATTTCCTGGCATTCCACTAGGCCCTCGTTCTCCAGTAAGACCTGGCAGCCCAGGAAGACCAGGCATGCCAATAATCCCTGGTTGACCTTTATTTCCGGCTTAAATCAACAGTTTATTTACTTTAAATGTATATTTCCTACGAGTTCCCGGAGTTCCACTCTTTCCAATTTCGCCATTCGGCCCTTTTGGCCCAGGAGGTCCTTTTGGACCGGTTGGGGCTTGTTGACAGTCAAAACACCTTTAAATTAAAGTTATATATATTTTTCTAACTATAATTTGACCATTCTTGCTCGTTCAAAGGTAATCCTGGAATACCATCTTTGCCGGGAATGCCAGCAGCGCCTTCACGGCCATCTGGGCCTGAACCACCGGGCTACAAAGATTTTATTGTAATAATTATTTTATAACCAATTTATTATGCCAATGTAGTACTAAAATATGAATGGAAGTGCCTTTTTTATTAAGGAGCGTGTTAGTGGGATTCGTTTGTTTAAAACGAGTTACTGAATAATGATTTAATGATATGTTTTCTAACAATAATTTCTAACAATAACTTCATTGGTTTAATTTATATTGCAAATGTTTGTCGGCAAACTAAAATTATTAGAAATCTCCAGAAAAATTTCTTAACTGTTCCAGACTGTCCGGGCACACCAGGTTCTCCTATTCCACATTGACAACATGACGGAACTATTTCTTCTAATGGAAATGGGGCTGCTGCTGGGGGTGATGCAAACAATTTTAATGCAAAATTTCCTTTTGTCTTTATTTTATTGTTGTTAATTGTTTGCCGAGGAATTCGTCTTTTTTGTGTTAATGGCCCAATAACTAGCTGTTTAATAAGAAAATTTTAATTAATCTCCCTACAATGTTTTCTCAGTAAAATAAGTAGTTCATGTTTATTCTATTATTGTTACAAAGGCTAAACGATGTGTTTTCTAACAATAGCTAGCTACAACTCAGAAACAAATTTTACCAGCCCCGTACTTTTAGACTTCGATGGTGTGGGCCCGAGTATTTGATACTAAAATATTTTTAAAGAATTTTTAATATTAACCAATTCTGTTTGTATTAATTCTGCCCTAAGCCGTCTGCTTTCTGTTCTGCATATTTTCAAATTAGGTTCTAAAGCTAAATGTATTTGTTGAGTGTAGATATAAATTAAGGGGACTATGAGAATGCTGGCAATTGTTGCTGCTGTTCTGAGAAAATTTTTAAAAAAGTTTTAATCTCTAAAAAAATTTTTTTAATTTTCAAAAAATTTCTTTCAAAATTTAATTTAACTCCTACCCAAACGCCACACTAATAAATGAAATCATCCTTAATTTATCTGCATAGCTTCTTCTGTTCTCATAGATTTTTTGATTTTGTTCTGTTATTTTAAGTTTATCTTCTCTATTTTTCATTTTATAAAGAAAAATTTTTATTTTATTTTAATTAAAAATTATTTAATTGAAAGAAAGCTAGTTTTATTTTCTTCTATTTATGTAATAAAAATAAATAAACAAGCTATTGTTTTTTAATATAAATAGCGTTAACCAACAATAAGGACTTTTTTAATTAAGGGATAAACAGGACAATAACATTGATTAAATAAAAAAATCACCTAAATCTACGCAGGTTAATGATATATTTTTAATTGGTATTAAAAAAATAAAATTATTTTATTTATTAAAATAATTATTAAAGATGATAATTAAAGATTAACGTTTTTAAGTTTACTTAATTAGAAAGCCTCTTTGGCAAGTCATTAATATTGTAAAGCATAATAGATAACACATCAGTCCGGTCTACTGAAGATGATGGTTCTTTTGCACTAGCTGAACAATCTTTTGCACTAGCTGAAGGAGAGAAATGGCTATATGTATCCCAGCTGCTTTACTAAATAAATAATAGAGGTCCAAGTACACTGCCTCGGGGGTGTTAATAAATAATGCCCTTTTTGTTATTAAGAGGAATAATTATTGACACTAATAGTACAATAGTTTATAGAAAAATTTTCTCAAATTCCCTATGTAATAATTAAAAATATTTATCAAAATTAGAAATGTTATTAGAGGAATGAATAAAGCAACTTATTCCAATAAATTTGCCTTATTCATTTAAATAGTAATAAAAACCATCTAATTCATGTGTAAAAAATATGTAGACTATAATGTTGAATTTTAAAATACTTATACTAATAAAAATGCTCCTATAATTTAATATTTAAACAAAAGGTGAAAAATAAAATTTTTTAATTTAAAATTAATAAAAGTTAAAGCGACCTACTTAATTAAATACATACATATTTAATGTGTATTTTTATAAAGCTAAGAAAATTTTTAGCTTTACATACCTATTGCACTTTTATATAACAAATATTACTTATTAACATTATTTTAATATTATTAACATTATTACACTATTTATCAAGCCAAAAAAAGCTTTAGATACAGAAACCTATAAATTCTTTACAAAGTTCAATGGACTTGTATTTCTTTCATCATGATGAATACGAGCGTCTTTACAATTGTAGTTTATACAGTGTTGACCAAATCCCTTTAGAAAAACGTCAACATAAAATACTTGGAATTTTCCTGTTCAGTTTATCTACACTATGTGAGGTGAGTAAATAATATTTGGCATGTTCATAAGCGAGCCTTATTTTTGATCTTTAAATCAAAAAAAATTTTTTATTCAAAAATAATCGTTGAACTAATTAACAGTGAATGTTATTATTATCACAGGATTAATAATGGACCCAGAAATTTAAAATATTAAAAATTATTAATAATTAAAATTAAATAGATACTCTATATTCCTTGTATGTTCTCAATTTGGAATCGAATGGCAAATAGTCATTGTTATAAAATCATGTTTTATATTGGGGTTATTGATATGGCTACAATTTTATGTGTTGGACATATTACTGCCTATTTTGGCTATTTTGGTTTTGTTTTTTGTTCGTCCCCTACTTTCAATTATTTTGCTGGAGCTTATGGACAATGTCTCTGAAAACTTAATTTGTTTTTGAATTTAAGGGAAAATAATATTCTGTCAAAAATTTTCCCAAACCCCATATCAATTTTTAAATATTTTATTTTCAATAAAAGAAATGCATCCAAACATTTTTTTGGTTTTGAAAAATTAAACGAAATCTTTAAAACTTTAAACAGAGTCTTCAACCTTCTTCGTTTTAATTAACCATTAAAACGAGCATTGCTTTAAACCAGGGTTTCGATATCTGCGGATTTTTCCTCATTTTGTGGTTTTTTGATAGGGCGATGAGGATTATTTTTAAAAATGCGGATTTGCGGATTTTTGTGGTCTTTTGAAGATTATGAGGATTTTTTATATTTTCTTGTGGTTTTTAGCAAAATGTCATTATTTTTCCGCTAAAACCTTCTAAAATCCTCAAAATTTTCGCCTGCGGCGCTGAAAATGGAAGAAATCTGGCTTCTTGGTCTTCCAAAATTCTCAAAATTTTCGCCTGCGGCGCAAAAAAGGTAGGAACCTGTGTCCTTGATCTTACAAAATCCTCAAAATTTTTTGCCCTGCTTTAAACTTAGTTATTTTTAAATAAATAATTTTGTCGATGATGGTAATAATGAAGTATTTTGTTAATTTAATGTTATCTTCTATAAACACATAAATAAGGTTTCCGGACTAAAAGAGGTAAATCCGGAATAAGTGATCTTATAAAATACTTGTTTAGAAAAAAGTTTCTGGGCCCGGCACGGAGTCGATTCGAAATTCTTTAGCTTTCGTTAAATTAAAAAAATTTTTTTTTAATTTCCAGGCTGCTGGATAATTGAATCCATAATGGAATTAGCTTTAGCATTAAACCGTTTCGTTGAACTTTTGTCTTCTGAGTTGGCTACAAAATTATTTAGCGGTAGGAATTTAACGAAAAATTCCCGGATCAGGAACTGAAATTTTTAATAAAGTAGTCGACATTGCCCTGTGACCATGCTTCTTTTTATAAATTTAATTTATTATAGGCAAAATGATTATCATTTGGTTAGTCGTTTCTATCATTTATGGGTTAACAAATATTTTTTGGACGAAGACAGTTGTATTTAGCGGTATCTATTTCGGTTATTTCTTCAATCCACACGTTGGATATATTGATGGTAATAATGAGGTATTTTGTTAATTTATTTTTATTTTCCGTAATGGTGGATTGTTCATTCTTTTAATTTTTAAAATATAAATTTAGGCATATGATAATATCTTTCATTCAATCCACAATATAAGCATTATGATTTTGTTGATACTCACTTATCTTTCTTTTTCTATCATTTTTATTTTACAATCAAAAGAAGGAGGACTTCAATCTGATCAGCAAAGTTTTTCAGAAAAAAGGGTTTCTATTAACCAACAAAGTCGGTAAAATCTCATATTCCAGATTTTTCTCCAAGTCGTTATAATCAGCTTGTTTAATGCTGTAGCTGCTTCCATTTATGTTTTTATGCAGTATATTCATGTTAATGAAATGTTGATTATAATTGCCCATATCTTTTGGTTGAATGCACACGGTGAAATTATTATAAATTATTATAAATCACATTATCTGATCTAGAAAATCATTTAACATTCAAAGCCTTTATTGTTGTCCTACACTTAATATTTCATTAAGAATCAAAATCTTCCTAAAATTAGTCTTGAAATTCAAAATTATTTTAAACTTTAACAAAATTTAATTTAAGGGATTCCTCCAGTCATTTACTTAACGTTAAACAATACAATCCAACGTGACTGCTTAAGAATGTTAAAAAATATCTTCAAAAAAACTTCTGTCCATCCATTACAATCCAACACCATTCACCCAACATGAGGCTAATCTAAAGAGGCTAACTAAGTTCATCTTTAAGAAGATACATAAATATAAAGTTTTTGATCTAGTCCATTATTAATTATCTTAATAGACAAAATAATAAGATTTAGCTTCAAAAAGAGATTCAAACTAGATCAACCTATTCTACCATCATATAAAATAAAGTTTTGTTTAAGAACAGATCTTATTTTAAAAAAACGTCACAAATATTCTATGTATACTAAATTAATTCTTGTTAAAATCCTTGTTGCACATTTCTCACTTCTAGAAGTAAAAATCCCGTGACACTGTACACACACCCTCAACAGTTTGGGGAAATTAATTTTAACACAAATTAGAACGTTAAAAGGAAATATTTACTTGTGAAAAGGAAAAATGGACAATAAAATGTAAAGCACTAAAGGGGTACAAAGGATCAAATAGATCAAAACAATCAACAAGATCAAATAGATCCCATCAAAGTTTAAATTAGTCTTAACAAATTAAATTCTTTTAAATTTAATTAATGATTTATTAGAAAGTTTTATATTTGGATTTGTTTTTTCTTCTTCTTTATAGCCTTAAAATTGCCATTTTTTCTTAGAATAAACAATTTTCACTCTTTCTTTAGTTGCTCTTTCCTCATCCAAATAAAATTCGTAACTTCCAAGAGTCAGCAATGGAGTTAATGAGGCAACTAATGCCAGTTCAGGATTATTTTCTAACGATTCACCATTATTTACCGTTATCTGTCCATCTTCATAATCATCTAATTCTGTTTTCAATATCCACATTGAAATGAATTGTCTCAAACTTTTCAATAAATCCTTCTCTAAATTATTCATTTTCTTAAACATTTTGGACACACATCTTTCCTCATTTGCTTTTTTAATTTTAACGTCGAATTGAAGCCAACACTCACAATTTTGTTTCGCTACAATTATAAAATAATTCCCTGGATTTTCAAATTTTACACAAATTTCAATGTGAGAGTATTCCATTTTAGCTTCTTGTTTATTAACCTTTAATGAAGTTGAGTCGATAAAATTCATTCTTTTATGTTTTTCTGTTTTTAAAATTTTTCTAGGCCCACCAGGATTCAAAAACCATATAAATCTAGTTAATTTATTAGGGTTTGATGGATTTGTCAATAAAGATGTATATATCCCTTGTATTTCTATATCCATAATTTGATTATTATACTCATCGTATCTTAAATTAGCAACTTTCAATTTATTTACTTCAAAACTGATTTGTGCAGAAATCAAAGGCTCTACGGTTATTAGAATCTAAAATGAAAATAAAATTTAAATAATTTTTAAGTACTTTTATCCAAACTAGGACACGGATACTGGTTATGGTATCCGTCTCCGGACAGACGAATATATACAATATCTGTATCCATATAATTATCCATGTCCTAGTCTTCTTTTACCCTATCCACAATTTCTGTTCCATTATTTTCATTTAGAACGATCCTAATGTCAACTACTTCTAAAAAATTGAATAATAATTCAAATAACATTAGTTTTTTTCCTTTATATCCACCAACTACACTTTTATTAAATGAAAATTCTCCTATAAGTAAATTTTGAATGGGAGCTTTCATAAATAAGGAAATTTTATCTTTTTCAATATTTTCATCAATTTCACACAAAATTTCAATTTTACTTTTTATTTTCCCATCTTCAACTATTTTAGTAAATTCCATTCTCAATAAAATTGCTTTAAAGGATCCATCCTCATTTTTATTATCCTCTGTAGAGGTAATCAACAATCGTTCATTAATTTGTAAATTTGAAGAAGAAAGAGCAAACAAAAGGAGAAAATAAATAATTTTATTGTTCATTGAAAATTAAAGTTTTTTTAAAATTTTTAAAATAAATATTTACTTTTGAGCCCTATAATAAATTAATTTTCTTTTATACATGCCCTTTTCTTGACATTAAGAAATTATTTTTTCTCATTTGATAGACTGTCCTTTGATTAGATTTTTATTCTATTACCTAATTAATTTGTCTATATTGGGAAATAATGCCCTTTATTTTGTTTATTTTTGCCTAAATATTATTGCACTTTTTGTTTACAAAATTATGTAATTTTAGACTAGTTTGGATCATGCGTCCCATGAAATTTTAAGCGTCCCATGAGCTTAATTTTTGTTTTGATTTAAATAGCCACCTGCTCATATTTTTCAAGGGAGGCATAGAGGGACATTTATAAATAAAAAACAGGATTATAAATATTTAAGTACAAATTGACCTGAATTATACAATTGAAATTTTGAAGAAGTTCAGTCCATATTAGTCCGGTAACCATTAGCAATAATTCATTATGTTGTCAAAGGAAGATAAAGGATTTATAAAGATGGAATCGATGGGAATCGGGTTTATATCTTGTATTATCTAGCTCAATCTTGTTACAAAGGGGTGTTCCGAGGGTATGGAAAATTCGTACTTGGGATATAGGAATAGGGTCAATCTCATTAAAATGGGCATCTCTGTTCGAGAGGGGGTAACGTTTAATTTCATTCTGTGGGGCAATTTTCAATTCTTTAAAAAATCGTTGCGGGATGGGAATACAGTGTCGGGAATTATCCTTAGCTATTAACTCACGGGACTTCGGCAAATTCTGTCGTTTTTTACGGGGCTTTCTTAGCAATTTCCTCACACAATTGATATTGTTGTTTATTATTTTCTTATCTTTTAATATTTCTTCTGATGAGTTAATGTAAGTAGTTTCTGATGAACAAATAATTTGCGAAGTGGACTTTTGTAAATTATTAAAACGACAAAGGGATGGATTAGGAGATAAATCTGGAACTGGGTCATTGGGCAAATCAAGGGAAGTTTCTTCAGGGTGGTTATCTGTCTTAACTTCATTAATTTCGTTTATAATCTCTGGCAAGGGTGTAAATTCTTCACAAATAAAATCTTTTAAATAATTAGGGGTATTTTTACTGATACATATTTCTTCAAACGGAGGAAAGCCAGGAGGGGGACTAATTGGTCTTTCATTATTAAAATCAATTGTTTGATGATTATTTAAAATTTGGGGTACATAAATACTATTAGACTCAGAATTTTCATTTTTAATTTCTGTATTTAATATAATTCCTTCAATGTTTATATTGATATAATCTTTAGAATTCTTTCTATTTTTTATTTCTTCGAGAGGGGTAAAGCCAGGAGGAATAGGAATTGGGTCTAATTTATTCATTTCTTTAGTATAACTTTTAATGAAGGGGGTCGGATTATTAACTAATTTCTCCTCGGAGTGTTCTGTAATCGAAGGGTTGGGATACAAACAAAAATTAGAGAAGGTCCGGTTTCGATAAGATTTATCACTAGAATTTGTATAAACTGGTTTTAAGGAGTCTTGAGTATTTTCATTAAAAGGTCTGTTCTTGGAAGGGTTTAAAAGAGGAAGTTCAGGAAGGAGATGTGAATGGTCAAATTGAGGTTTAGTTTTAGGTAGGTTACTTTCTAATTCATTACGGGAATTCCGAAACTTTCGTGCATACCGTTTAAGGTCATACATAATTTTTATATAATCTGTTTCTTGAAGGAATTTCTCTAGGATTTGGCTGTCGGTTGCCCTTTCAGTTTCTGTCATTGAAATTCTTAAGTTTTGCCATGAATCGTGGGCCATTTTAAAATCATTAAGGATTTTGGTGATCTCTTGGGTGGTAAGGTCTATTTCATCAATTAGGGCCTGAGTAGATTCGGGAGATTGATTTTTAAAATTATCATAATCTTCTATTAGGAGAGAGAAATGGCTAGGGAGAAGTATCTCTTTAGTAATGGAACAAAGCTGGGACAATTGATTTCTATAAACTAGTGACATTTTTATTTAAAAAGCAATAAATAATTTGGACTTTTAAAATCAAACAAAATATAAACTTTTAATGAATAACGGGACAACAAAACTTAAAAAAATATTTATGAAGAGGGTGGATTAGAAATAGATCTCGGATCTTCACCGGCTGAGCTGTAAAATTCTAAACAGAATTTTAATAAATGGGGAGGGAAAATACATTAAACTCAAAAATAACTTTAATCTTCAATAATTTAACAAAGCTTTAACAAATTTATTTCCAAACCAATAATTAAAATTAACAAAATAATCTCTTTAAAATCTAAACAAAGGAACGGGACAAACAAATTTAAAGTAACAGAATATTATCTTTTCTTTTATCAAATAGGACAAAAGAATGAATAAAACGGTTGAAATAAAACGGTTAAAAATATTCCATTCTTTGAGCGGGTTCGCAATGATGGGCAAAACAAACTTAAATTAACATTTTTCTAGTCTGTCATATAAAAAGGGTGGCGGGCAAT